AGCTTTTTTTGGTATTTTTATTTTCTACCTTTTATTTATTATTTTTCTGCACCACCCAACCTACCCCCTTATCTCCCCCCGTGCAAATCCCCTCAAAAAATTTTTCTTTACCCTTTTTTGTATTTTTGATTTTCTGTTTTTTTTTTCGTTTTTCTGCATCACCCACTAACCTCAATTCCCCCGCGCAAAATATTTTTCCACTTACACATTTTAAGGTAAAAGGCTATTTTTTTTGCAAGATGAGCATGATTCTAAAACGTGGGTCAAGTTGGGCGGGTTGGGCTTGACCCATTGTTTAGCTCATCTTGACCCAGCCCATCTTAACCCAAGTATACTTTGGGCAGGTTGAGGTATGACTCATTGTTTAGACCATCTTGACCCAGCTCATCTTAACCCAAGTATACTTTGGGCTGAATTAGGCAATGACCCATTTATTGACTTAACCCATCTTGACCCGCCCAAATTAAGCCCAACCCGCCCATTTGCCGAAGATTCACCGATAGTGTAAAAAAAAAGTAAACTGTCGAGTGTATATTACTTAAATTCATTTCTGCGATTCATGGATCATGCCTCAGAGTTTTGTGTTTATCAGATTCTTTAGATCATTAGATGTGCTACAGACATTTTTTTTCCATGATTCAGCGAGCAGTACAAAGTTGATTGCCAGCAATAAAATAATAGTGCTACTCGAAGATGAGAATGCTAAAAGCTTTTCAGTTGCCAAATTGTGAAAATGAAAGCTATAGATCTGGTTAATTGTGAAGATAAAGCTCTATTCCATCTGTAATAATACAAGCTTTCAGTTGTCTATTTTTCAACTGCTATACAATCTATTTTGTGCTATCATTTACAAAAAAACATGATGCCATGACTCAACAAACAAGAATCTGTTGATTTCTACTTTCTTGGTGCAAATAAGAAGTTGAACAGCAACATGAAGTAATTGAGAGGAGCAATGCTTTATGAAGATCTCCAGCAGATACACCTTTCTTGATTAGTGAAATAATGTAGTCCATGAAGTCTGAATCACACGGTAATGTTATAGGGTCACCACTCGGTAGCCCAAACTCTTCTTCAGACATGCTTAAAAGTTGCCTAATGACCTCATTTTCAAGGTAAGCCAAGGGAATGACGAACCGTGCTTGGTCAGCTGTATATACTACAAAATGACCCTTTTCAACTATAGAGGATGAGGATGTACTATAACTGTCTGTATCACTGTCATTTCTTGGAAATGAAATCCTCTTCCTCTGCTTTGCCGCGAACTTCTGCCATCTCTTGGCCATGTTGATGAGTTTCTTAGTACTGAGCATCTTCATTTATCTGGAAGACTAGAAACAAGAAAGTAAATTAGAACCTTAGGGATCTTTGATGAATGAACTGATAATGCTTGTTTTATGATGAAAAGGCTCATGAAAGGAGGATTATATATACAAGAGGCTGTAGACAAGATTTGAGTTGGAGCTAAAGTTTTGCTACTAATAACATAAGGCAAAGCCATGTGCTGATGCCTTTTGGCCAGGTTGATATGGGGCCTATAATTTGTGGATGAAGTTAGCTTGAAAGTATAAAAGATGATAAGTTTCCTCCTTTCTTCACTTTGGTTGACAACTGATTAGGCCTATTAGTTATGTTATCAGCTCATGCTTGGGACTTCTCACCAATGACAATAATATAGAAACAATTAGATAAAGAATTGCTGGTAAAAGGCAAAACCATGTGCTGCTCCCTTCTTGATCATGTAAATAGGGGGCCTTTAAATTGTCATCGTGGCTGATTGTGCTAGGAAAACCAGTGCATTAGAGTTGTTAGATAGGGACATAAGGATATTATTGTAAATGTTTGAAATTTTGGCGAGTTAACACTGCTCACGTATTTTTACTCAAAAGACGCAGTAACAGCAAGAAAACCCAATCTTTGGTTGACGGTGTCGAAACAAATGAGGGGAACCTTTATCAATTAATTCATAAGTCTTTTTCTTGTTCTTTCTCATTTCTTTGATGCGGGGTTATTCATATGAAGAAAGATGAAAAGATCATTCCGTTCACAAATAGTGTAGTTTATCTAGAAGAAAGTGAAGGATGTTGATAATTGAAATCAGGGATATTGTTTCCTTGAGAAAAAATAAATGTGATAAAACCCACTGCAACATAGATGTAGGAATGGTTCTTGACTTTTGTTTTAGCATAAAAGTTTGCTCTCTATCATATTTGAAAGATAGTTTTATTCAGCTATTGGAACAACTTTCTTGGAACTGTGAATACTACTTTATCCATTTGATTATGCAACGGTCTGTATATTAAGGGTGTGCGACCTACAGAAATCTATAACCCTTATTCGTTAGAATATTAAAGTTCTGTAATGTTATAATCCTTGTCATTTAATATTCTAAAATCAAAAGATTGGATCCCTGCCTTTATTGTTAACTGCTTGTTTTGTGAAAACTTTCTAGGCTGGTCCAAAATTGACCACATAAAATTTTATAATCCACATCATATTGTCTGTTCATTCGTTGTCGCTTAATGTTGTCATAATTAGTGGAATTCAATTCACAAATTATAGGACTTCTAGAAAGCAAATAAAAGAATCAGATTCTCCTAAGTGATCAGAGAATTAAACCGTTTGGGGAGAATAATATAGAATTCTGATGAATAATTGAGATTTAATATGCTGTACACTTGTGGAGTATTTTGTATCTACTAGACTACTACAAAACTTATCATAGGTCAATAAACTAGCACTTGGGGGTTTCTTTGTTCTAGAACGGATGAGCATCGGCTCGAAGCAACTGATACAAGCAAAGCATTCTGAAGATCTACAGTTACACCTCTTCTGATGAGTGATATGATGTAATTCAAGAATAAGGCATCACACGGTAAAGTGATAGGGCCATCACTTGGAAGTCCAAACTCTTCTTCAGACATGTGCAACAGTTGTCTGATTACCTCATGTTGTAGATAAGCCAAAGGAACCACAAATCGCTTCTGATCAATTGTATAGACCACAAAATGCCCTTTAGCAACTACAGAAGATGATGTGCTACAATTTTCGGCATCATTGTAATCGGATCTTGGAAAAGAAATTCTCTTCCTCTGGTTGGCTGCAAACTTCTGCCATCTCCTTGCCATCTTGATGAGTTTCTTAACACTAATCATACTTGATTTCTTTGGAAGATTGGAAAGAAAAAAGGTTGATTACTTTTCAATAGGTTTGAGTAATTACTATCTGCTTGATGATCAAAATGGCTCATGGAAGCAGTTCATTTATAGTTGAGGCTAGAGAATGAATTTAAATTGTAGCTAAAGTTGTCAACCTGAGTTAGGTACGCAAGGCAGAATCATGTGCTGCTGTTGAATATGGGACCTAATGAATTGTGGATATGGCTGCTTGTCTAGTTTTCCAACTGAAGAAAAGAAGTTAATGTATTTCTTCCATTTTTATGTGCAGAATAACAACAAATGGGCTAAGCTAAAGTAGAATTTAAAAAAATCATAGACATATCGAGAGGGACTAGAAAAGAATGAGTCATATAATTGTTCTTTCTTATTGAATTGATGAAAATAGCAGACAAGTTCATTTAATTTGATTATGAGAATTTTGTTGTTATTCCACAAATATGACATATTTTTCTAAGTGCTTGGCAAAGAGTTAGAAGGCAATGGCATGTGATATTTCATGTCATGTTATTGTTCTTTCTCTTGTGGTATTTCTGTTGCTATTCCTATCTGGCATTCTTTGTCACCTCATCTCTAAACCAAGTGGTCCTGGACAAAATCATCAAATTTATCCATTCTTGTGGATGTTCATTTAAAAGTGTCTTTTTCTGCTCCAATTCATAAGAAGCAGTAGGGCCTAGTAGTGTTGTTCAACAAAGTTTATGGTCCAAGTTATTTGACAATAACAAAGTAGGCAAAACCATGTGAAACTTCATGTGCCATTGTCTCTGACCAGTAGCCACCAATTTCTTTTAACCACTAAACATTTGGATATGAAACTTGTCATAAACTTCTATATAATCAAACCCAATCATTTCAGCAAAACACAAGTATCCTGACATTCAAAAAACTTCTGTGCAATTCTCAAAGTTCTTGTTCTTTATTTTCCTTCATCATTTACAGTTACATCATATTCCTTGAGATAATGGGTATCAAAGTGACTCCATTTATTCAGGCTAGTCGAATCCTAAGGAGGTCTTCAACAACTGGAGGTGTTCTTAAAGGACATTGCGCAGTACATGTAGGAAAGAGACAGAAGAAGCGATTCGTTGTGCCAATATCATACCTGAGCCAGCCTTTATTTCAAGACTTGTTAGATCAAGCTGAAGAAGAGTTTGGATTTGATCATCCAATGGGCGGTCTAACAATACCTTGCAAAGAGGATGTGTTCATTGATCTCACCTCCCGCTTGAGGAGATTATGAGTAGGACCATGGTGCATATTGTTCTGCCCATGAAATTTTGTAAAGCAATAGTTTTAGAAATGAGAAAGTTGAGAGATAGTAGAGATGTCACTTCCCCATTTAAGTGGGGCTTGACAAAGAGGGAAACAATTCCTTGTTTTTTCTTATTCATTTTGTGTAGTAGTAGTAGTAGTAGAAAACAAGGATTTTCTGCTTGTAACTGTTGAGTTAAAATGACTAACCTCCTTTCAAATGGATATAGCCAATTTTTATATAAGCAAATTTTTCAAGTCACTTGATTAGAAGACGCGATACTTTTATATGTTCATGTTTCCTAATTCAGTAGACGGATGTGCCTGACATTTTGCATAATTGTGCTCCTGGCTCTATTGACACCAGCAATTAAGTACTACTATCGTTATTTACAGCTCTTCGACCCTCCTTTGTGTGGTTGTCTGTTAAAACTCATAAGTTTACAAGCTCCAGATGCTCTCTTTTGTGTTTTCTGTCTCAATTTCTAAATTTAGCAACTGATGACTTCTCTCAGAGAAGCAAGGGAAATGTTTGTTGCTCTACAAAGATGAGAAATTTTGTTTCATTGACCGAATAGGCCGTAGTTAAGGTGCTTCATAATTTGTCCAAACTTGAGGCTGCTTTACTCTTCAATTCCACTAAGTCTATCGGAGTCCATGTCTTGTCAGTCTAGATAAATTATTCTTAATCTTTATGAATCATTGGAACTTACTAAACTACTTGTTCTTGGCAGGTGATTTGTCTTGCAATCTGTCCTGCTATTATCACTTAGTTATATCCGAGCTATAAGGTAATTGAAGTTACACATGTAAATATTACCATTGAGCTTTGTTATTACTTTCTAATTGGTTGTCGTAATTTGCAGCTTCCTTTCAATCTATACTGATCAAGTATGAACATTAGCTGCAAAGGAAGTCTGGAAAAGGAACAGTTAATGATTTCACTTCATTTAAACTCTTTACAATTAATTTTTCATGTCATTTAGACTTGTGTTGTCTTGATTCATACGTCTCTAAGTTTTCGATAGACAAAGTCAATTGCCTGCAATGAAATAATAGTGCTACTCCAAGATGAGAATGTTAAAGCTCTATTCCATCTCTAATGAAACAAATTTCTGTTGCCTATTTTTCTTCTGCTATACACTCTGTTTTTGAGCTATCATTTACAAAATATGACCGTTTCATGTCTCAATAAGCAAGAACCTGTTGATTTCCACTTTCTTGGTGAAAGGAAGAAGTTGAACAGCAACATGAAGGAATTGAGAGGAGCAATGCTTTGTGAAGATCTCCAGCAGTTACACCTTTCTTGATCAGTGACATGATGTAGTCCATGAACGCCGAATCACAGTGTAATGTAATAGGACCACCACTTGGTAGTCCAAACTCTTCTTCGGACATGCTTAAAAGTTGCCTAATGACCTCATTTTCAAGGTAAACCAAGGGAATGACAAACCGTGCTTGATCAGCTGTATATACTACGAAATGACCCTTTTCAACAATAGAGGATGAGGATGTACTGCAGCTGTATTTATCACCTCCATTTCTTGGAAGTGAAATCTGCTTTCTCTGCTTGACCGCGAACTTTTGCCATCTCCTTGCCATTTTGATGAGCTTCTTAGTACTGAACATTGTCTTTCTTTCCATTTTTCTTTTTCTTGAAAGTTTGGAAGCAAGAAAGTTAACTAGAAATTTAGAAATTGATGGCTGAATAGATAATTCTTTTACTTGATAATGAAAAATGTCCGTAGAAAAGGGGGTTATATTTATACAAGAGGTTGTAGACAGGCTTTGAGGTTGAGATGAAGTTTTGTTATTAACAACCAAAGGCAAAGCCATGTACTGATGCCTGTTGGCTATGTTGCTATGGGGCCTTAAATTTGTGAATGAAGCTAAGTTTCTTCTTTCTTTACTTTGACAACAGGGACCTATTAGTAATTGTATCAGCTCATACTTGGTTACTTCTCACCAATGCCAATAGTTTGAAACCATTAGATGAGCAATTGCAGGTCAGAAGCAAAACCATGTGCTTCTACCTTCTTGGTCATGTAGATAGGGGACCTTTGAATTGTCATCTTGACTAGTTTTTCTAGAAAAGAACAAATGCATTAAAGCTGAGTTTAGAGGAAGGACACTGTAGTAATAGTTTAGGTTAATTGGAGTATGAGAAACCTGCTGGCTGCTGTTATTCCACAAATATGGGACCTACTGCAATGTGGATATCGCATGTTGTCTAATTTTTCAGTTCTACCACTTTGCTTTGTAGTATAAGAACTAACACAGCCAAGCTTGAGTAGGACTAATAAAATGTAGCAGACACCACGAAAGGGACCTAAGAATTGTGGTATTTGTGTTGATATGCCTATCTGGTTATCCTTCTTTGATGAGTATGTGTCACCATATCTTTAAGCTAAGTGGTCCAGAATTATGTCATGAGCTAGTGGCTTTTGAATAAATACTAGTTCTCTCGGTGATAGATTAAGTTCGCTTAACAACCCTGCCAGTGTGAGCTCGCTTACATTGCCAGTCCCAAGCCCGAATAAAGGAGGAAGGTTGCATTAGGTTAGCAGCCAGCATAATACTTGCCAATTCATGATGAATCCTCATAATTTACTTGCATTTTTATTTTTTTGGTAATGATAATGATATGAATTCAGCTTAATGAAAAGAATGGGGTTTCATATTGCCGACCCCAACTTGTTTGAAACTGAGGCGTAGTTGTTGTAGATTAAGTTTGCTGAACCATGTGCTGCCTGCCTGCCTTGTCATGTAGGTAGGGGACCTTCACATTGAATATTAGACCTCTTCCTACCTTCTCTAATCTTCTTTTTACTTATTAGTTATGATATCAAGTCTTCCTATGTGCAAAAGGAAAGGATCAACTGTCCTTTTCACTGTCCTGAATTTGCTATTTTTTCTTGAGCTTTAATATTTACTGCTATCGTTCATGTAATTGTTTATAAACTGAAAATGGCAAGTTAAAAATTGTTTACAGTTTACTTAGAAGACAACATTAACAACAAGGAAACTAAATCATCTTGGTTGAAATTAGTCTTCAGCGGAAGCCCTGGTGCATACTTTTACAATTAAGTCAATAGTCTTTTTTTACTTCTTCTTGCTGGAAAGAATGATCTAATGAAGCTTTTGACATTACGTTCTTTGAATTGAGCTTATCAACTTACCCAGTGATTGTGAAAGCCGCAAGCTATATATTCTAGGTGGAGGATGCTAGAGAGCAACGAATATGCAATCAGATTTTCCCAATTTATAAAGAATAAAACAGTTTGGATAAGAATATGGAGTTTTCAATTAGTTAACATTCTGTACACTTTTTGAGGATCATGTATCCATTACAAAACTTGTTGAAGTTAGCTCAACAAACTAGGAATCGTCGGTGACTTGGTTCTTGAAGGTATGAAGCTGATGAGCATCGACTGGAAGCGACTGATACAAGCAAAGCATTCTGAAGATCTGCAGGTACACCTCTTCTGATGAGTGATACGATGTAGTTCATGAATAGTGCATCACATGGTAATGTAATAGGTCCATCACTGGGAAGTCCAAACTCTTCTTCAGACATGTGCAACAGTTGTCTGATTACATCATGTTGTAGATAAGCCAAAGGAACCACAAATCGCTTCTGATCAGTTGTATAGACCACAAAATGCCCTTTGCCAACTATAGAAGATGATGTGCTACAGCTTTCTGCATCATTGTAATCGGATCTTGTAAAAGAAATTTTCTTCCTCTGGTTGGCTGCAAACTTCTGCCATTTCCTTGCCATCTTGATGAGTTTCTTAACACTAATCATATTTGATTTCTTTGGAAGATAGGAAAGAAAAAAAGGTTGGTTACTTTTTTAAAGGTTTGAGTAATTGCTATCTGCTTGATGATCAAAATGGCTCATGGAAGCAGTTCATTTATAGTTGAGGCTAGAGAATGAATTTTAATTGTAGCTAAAGTTAGGTAGACAAGGCAGAATCATGTGCTGCTGTTGAATATGGGACCTAATGAATTGTGGATATGGCTGGTTGTCTAGTTTTCCAACTGAAGAAAAGAAACTAATGTATTTCTTCCATTTTATGTGCAGAATAACAACAAATGGGCTAAGCTAAAGTAGAACTTTAAAAAAAAACGCAGACATATCGAAAGGGACTAGAAAAGAATGAGTCATATAATTTTTCTTTCTTATTGAATTGATGAAAATAGCAGACAAGTTCATTTAATTGGATTATGAGAATTTTGTTGTTATTCCACAAATATGAGATTTTTTTCCAAGTGCTTGTCAAAGAGTTAGAAGGCAATGGCATGTGATATTTCATGTCATGTCATCTTTCTTTCTCTTGTGGTATTTCTGTTGCTATTCCTATCTGGCATTCTTTGTCACCTCACCTCTAAACCAGGTGGTCCTGGACTAAATCATCAAATTTATCCATTCTTGTGGATGTTAATTTAGAAGTGTCTTTTTCTGCTCCAAATCATAAGAAGCAGTAGGGCCTAGTGTTGTTGTTCAATAAAATTTATGGTCCAAGTTATTTGACAATAACAGAGTTGGCAAAACCATGTGAAACTTCATGTGCCATTGTCTCTGACCAGTAGCCACCAATTTCTTTTAACCACTAAACATTTGGATATGAAACTTGTCATAAACTTATATATAATCCGACCCAATCATTTCAGCAAAACACAAGTATCCTGACATTCAAAAAACTTTTGTGCAATTCTCAAAGTTCTTGTTCTTTATTTTCCTTCATCATTTACAGTTACATCATATTACATTGAGACAATGGGTATCAGGGTGACTCCATTTATTCTGGCTAGTCAAATCCTAAGGAGGTCTTCAACAACTGGAGGTGTTCCGAAAGGACATTGCGCAGTATATGTAGGAGAGAGCCAGAAGAAGCGATTCGTGGTGCCAATATCATACCTGAGCCAGCCTTTATTTCAAGACTTGTTAGCTCAAGTTGAGGAAGAGTTTGGATTTGATCATCCAATGGGCGGTCTCACAATACCTTGCAAAGAGGACGTGTTCGTTGATCTCACCTCCCGCTTGAGGAGATTATGAGAAGGACCATGGTGCAAATTCTTCTGCCCATGAAATTTTGTAAAGCAATAGTTTTAGAAATGAGAAAGATGGGAGATAGTAGAGATGTCACTTCCCCATTTAAGTGGGACTTGACAAAGAGGGAAACAATTCCTTGTTTTTTCTTATTTATTTTGTGTAGTAGTAGTAGTAGTATAAAACAAGGATTTTCTGCTTGTAATGTTAGTTAAAATGACTAACCTCCTGTCAAATGGATATAGCCAATTGTTATATAAGCAAAAATTTTCAGGTCACTTGATTATAAGACTCAATACTTTTATATGTTCATGTTCCTAATTCAGTAGACGGATGTGCCTGACATTTTGCACAATTATGCTGCTGTCTCTATTGACACCAGCAATTAAGTACTACTAACACTATTTAGTATTTACAACTCTCAGACCATGCTTCTGAGCAGATGAACTCCACATCTTGTCTTGTCTGGTGGTAGCGAAAGCTAGAGGCGAAGTCAGAATTTCAAGCTTATGGATTCGGAATTCTAATCGTTTTAAGTTACTGGGTTCTAAATTAATAAGTTATACATATTCAATGGATTTTTTAAGACAAATACAGGGTTTAAACTAAAGCTACTGGGTTTGACCGAACCTGCTGGCTACACTCTAGCTCCGCCCCTGGCGAAAACGACGTATTAAATCACATGATTGTGAATGCAGTGCAAGTAAAGGGCATGTTCAGCTTAGTTTCGTGACTTGAGTATCTGGAAGCTAGGGAAAGTGCAGAATTTGATGCTTTAAGCTAATTGAAAATACACATGTAATATCTTGATATATTTGTGACTATGTAACCATCTGTTAAGAGTTGGGCTCTGTTATTATGGCCTGATATGAATCATGAATGACCTGTTACAAGATATAAGAATTGAAGTGGTGGTCCGGTTAGTGTCCTATAGGAGGAAATACTGAGCTTTTTTATTACATTCTAAAATGATTGCTGTAATTTGCAGCCTCCTTTCCAGTTTTCAATATATATTGATCCATTATGAAATTTAACCAGAAAGAAAGTCTGAAAGAGGAACACTCCAGGGTAGTTTGGTTACCGAGATAATAATATTAATCCCGGTATAAAATTTGGGATTATAATTATCCCGTGTTTGCTTGTGGATATTAGCTAATACTGGTATAAATTTTATACCAAAATGGTGGTATTAGTTATCCCATATAGGAGGTGGAGTAGATAATCCCTTGTATTGGTGGTGATCAGTGTTTGACCAAAAAAGTTTTAAGCTTTTTTGTTAAACTAATTAAATAAGAAGATAATGGGCAAATTCTAGTTAAAAATAATTAGCTCCAGATCTGAGACGGACAACAGGAATGTAAAAATATAGTAGAACATAAATATCGGCCATAATCATGGCCGGGTTCTATAGTATGAGAAAAAGACTATGCATTGAATAACATCGAATGACAACAAAATGTACATAAAAGAAAAGATTCACCCGATCCCGAGCAAGGCGGATCCAACTTGTTTGATAAAGTTGATCGATAGATGAATACAAGGATCTTAGGACCCATTTTCCTTTTGGCAGAGAGCGCGTAAGGTGATAGACCGTCTCCCCTCTAAAAGAGGTATGTCTCCCTTTTCTCTAGAGCCAGCCCCCCCTTGAAGTCTTTTCTCTTACTACTTATATAGGACAATTCTCTTACCCAGCGGTCCTAAACCAGAGTACCCAAGTTTTGAGAATATTCCTCCAAAATATCTAATTGCTAAGCTAGCCGTTTGAGCCAATTCGAGTGCTCGACCTCGACCGTAGCTGCGCTACTCGCCTGTATACTACTTCCCATACATAACTTCGGCCTGATTGACTCTTGGTCGTCTTTCCTTAAGTAGAATTCTTTTGATTAGATTTTGACCCATACAATCATATGTCTGTAAAAGTAAGTTTCAATGGTCAAAGTTGATTGCCTGCAATAATATAATAGTGCTACTTCAAGATGAGAATGTTAAATTTTCTCAATTGTCAAATTGCAAAGTGAGTTATAGATCAGGTTAATTTCAAGATAAAGCTCTATTCCAGTCTGCAATGATACAAGCTTTTAGTTGCCTATTTTTCATCTGCTATACAATCTGTTTTGAGCTATCATTTACAAAATATGACTGTTTCATGTTTCAATAAACAAGAATATGTTGATTTCCACTTTCTTGGTGAAAAGAAGAAGTTGAACAGCAACATGAAGGAATTGAGAGGAGCAATGCTTTGAGAAGATCTCCAGCAGTTACACCTTTCTTGATCAGTGACATGATGTAGTCCATGAACGCCGAATCACAGGGTAATGTAATAGGACCACCACTTGGTAGTCCAAACTCTTCTTCGGACATGTTTAAAAGTTGCATAATGACCTCATTTTCAAGATAAGCCAAGGGAATGACGAACCGTGCTTGGTCAGCTGTATATACTACAAAATGACCCTTTTCAACTATAGAGGATGAGGATGTTGTACAACTGTCTGTATCACTGCCATTTCTTGGAAATGAAATCCGCTTCCTCTGCTTGACCGCGAACTTTTGCCATTTCCTTGCCATTTTGATGAGCTTCTTAGTACTAACCATTGTCTTTCTTTCCATTTTTCTTTTTCTTGAAAGTTAGGAAGCAAGAAAGTTAGAAACTTTTGATGGTTGAATAGCTAATGCTTTTACTTGATGATGAAAAATGTCCATAGAAAATGGGGTTATTTATACAACAGGTTGTAGACAGGCTTTGAAGTTGGAGCTGAGGTTTTGGTACTAACAATCAAAGGCAAAGCCATGTGCTGATGCCTGTTGGCTATGTTGATATGGGGCCTTAAATTTGTGGATGAAGCTAAGTTTCTTCGTTTCTTTACAACCGGGGCCTATTCGTAACGACATCAGCTCAAACTTGGTACTTCTCACCAATGCCAATAATTTGAAACCATTAAATGAGCAATTGCAGGTTAGAAGCAAAACCATGTTCTTCTCCCTTCTTGGTCATGTAGATAGGGGACCTTTGAATTGTCATCTTAGCTATTTGTGCTATAAAGAATAAATGCATTAAAGCTAAGTTTAGAGGAAGGACTCTGTAGGAATAGTTTAGGTTAATTGGAGTATGAGAAACCTGCTGTTATTCCACAAATAACAACAATAACAATGACCTGTGAGATCCCACAAGTGGGGTCTGGGGAGGGTAGTGTGTATGCAGACCTTATCTCTACCCCAATGGAATAGAGAGGCTGTTTCCGATAGACCCTCGGCTCAAGAAGATGAAAAGAGACGCTGTTATTCCACAAATACGGCCTAAAATTCTAAGTTCTTGTCAATGAGTTAGAAGGCAATACCATGTGATAGTTAATTAGTCATAAACTTCATCCTCTCTTGTGGCTTTTATTTTAAGGGTGTCTTTCTGTTCCTAATCTGAGAAGTAGTAGGGCCTAGTGTTGTTGTTCAACAAATTGATGGACTGAATACTTTGGAAATAACAGAGTAAGCAAAACCATGTGAAACTTCATGTGCTGTTGTCTATCACTAGTTGAGTATGAAACTTGCCACTAACTTATATATATACTCGGACAACAAAGGATCCGAGCAAAACACAAGTATCCGTATTACAAAAAAAAACTTCCATTTTCTGTACAATTCTCAAATTCCTGTTCTTTCTTTTCCTTCACCATTTGGAGTTACCAAATACTTCTTGAGACAATGGGTATCAAAATGACTCCATTTATTCAGGCTAATCGAATTCTAAGGAGGTCTACAACATGTGGAGGTGTTCCAAAAGGACATTGTGCAGTTTATGTAGGAGAGAGCCAGAAGAAGAGATTCGTCGTGCCAATATCATACCTGAGCGAGCCTTTATTCCAAGATTTGTTAGCTCAAGCTGAAGAAGAGTTTGGATTTGATCATCCAATGGGCGGTCTCACAATACCTATCAAAGAGGATGTGTTCATTGATCTCACTTCCCGCTTGAGGAGATCATGAGTAGGACCGTGGTGCAAATTCTTTTGCCTATGAAATTTTGTAAAGTAGGACTAGAGATGAGAAAGAGGAGATTGTAGAGTTCATTGTATAGTTCAGAACCACAAGAACCTTTGGAGGGAACATTTCCCATGTAAAATTATGACTAGCAGAAATTCTAATTCTTTCAGTCTTTCAGTTTTTATTAGTCTGCTTTATAGCGTGCTGTTTTTCATTCTTATTTCTTTCTATCAAACAAGTAAATGGACTTTAAGTGCTGAAAGAAATGTGTAAACAAGCAGGGAACGTGCAGGATATATGAATCATCATTTATTATTGAGTTTGTCCTTGAAAGAATCGAGTAACACGTGTAACAACAGAAAAAAAAACAGAAAAACTGCACAAGTATATGAATGATTATCTTGTTATGACTATACAAATCTTGTCCTAAGTGAATTTTCACTCTCTGTCCCTAACATCAGTATATCAGGTCCCTGCCAAATTCAGAATCACAAGGCACTAGTGATGTCGCATAATGACCAAACTCAAAGCTGTTCTGTGCTCTTGGTGGTGCAAGTGAAGTGCAACAAGCCTCACACACAAACAACGGTGGCACAACCTCAGAATCCTCGATCCCACAGCAGCGAGTGTGCTGCCATATCTCACATATATCACATGAAACCATTCTTTCACCATCATCGTCTCGAGCCCCACACCTACAGTTAACTGTCCAATTATCAGCCCCTCCTTCATTTTTCAACTCACTCTCCAAATCCAACCCGAAACCCCTCACCCAAAGTTCTGAGCCAGACTCGATAATGCCAAAGAGCACTTCACAATCTTCCATTCTTTCCATCCCTACAATATCTGTTACCATAAAATTGTCCATAATACAATAAGTGTCCCTCATTGCAGACTCAATAGCTATTTTCAGATCACCAATTGTTGAATGTAGCGGAACTTCAACCAGTTCTCCGGGGGGATATCCCTTTCTAAGTACAGCTTCCAAACCACTAGAACTCGGCAAAATGCAACAAATGAACCTCAACAATATGTCATCTGGATCATCCCTAAATGGCCATTCCTTCACAAAATGCTTACTGTCCAAAACTGTCCTAACAGCTAACTTTAGCACATCAGATTCTGCAAAGCTCAGTAGCAGATTATTGTACAAGCATAAAACATCATTGTAAACATCAGTTCCAGGACTAACAGCATAGTTCTGGACTGGCTCCGGGTGCTTTTCTTGTTCAGGTTGATCACAATTCCGAAGCTCCTGAATCGTGTACTCCAACACCCTGGTAGCTCGATTCACTGCACGATGAACAACATAGCCTCCAACAATCACATTATTCATCGATTTCAGAACATAATCAATCAACCCCGTATCGCCAATGTGGAGACGAGCAGCATCACGCGCCTCTTGCCTGCTCATGCCACAACTCCCAAATCTGTTTGTTGCTTTCTTTTCTTTCAATGCATCAACAATCACATCTGCAGTGAACTCAAGTCTTCTCACTGGCCATCTACTGTCAAGAGATGCTGCTATATTCGAAAACTTTCTATACCTCACTGATTTTTCCTTCCCCTCAGACTTGTTGGGTGCAGCATTTCTTATCAAGTATCTCGACGAAGAACATGCTCGTACAACAGGAGCAACATTTGGCTTCTCCTTAATTGAATTGCAGGACTTCACAGCAAGCATGAATCTGAAGAGGTCACGGATCGTAGTTAAAGGACTGTCACTCAAACCTCTATAGCAAACAACCATCTGTTTCATTACATTGGATCTGCTGCTGTATCTGAAATCATCAATCACCTGATCAACTTCAATTGAGCTGAGCATTTCAATTGCTTTTTCATAATTGTGCTCCATTATCCCAAAACTTCCATGGCTAAATTTGTAATCCCATCGGCCGAACCACGTATGCCCATAGGCAACCCCATACAACAAACGCAAATCCATCAAATGCTTCTTCGATACATCTTCAACAGTGATTTTCCTTCAAAAAACAGATGAAAATATTTCAAGAACTCAACTAATACATTCAAAACCAGAATCTGATACATCAAATACTTTAGAGAAATGTTTATTACCGAGCTCTAAGATTAGTGCAAATACGATCCCAAAGGTCCATAACTTCGCGGCCACAGAGAAATTTGGATCCACCTTCATTTCCATTAATGCAAATCAAATGCCCAAATCCATTACAATGAATCAAACCATGCAAAATGTGAGTTTGATCATCAAAAGCATCATCATTAAGATGCTGGTTCCATTCACAATCAGCTGGTATTATCAAATGGTACTTCCTCTTTGAAACAAAATGATGACTCCAACCTGAAAATTCACAAAATCCTCATAAATCCTTAAACCCCAAAAACAAAATACTCTAATGAAAACAATAAATTTCCACAACCCAACTCACAAATAAATAGAACGATTAAAGGGTGTTAAAATTCAAACAGAACGTACCAAAACTCAAATCTAAAAAATTCCCAAAACCCAAATTCAAAAATCAGTGTAAAGACAAAATTCAAATCTTACACAAAAAAAAAAATACAATAATCAATAAATGACCAAAAATGTGTTCAAATTCATGAGTTACCAGCACATTTGCAGCCATCAAAATCCCTAAACCCATAAACCCCAAAATTCAAATCTCCCCAAAAAAATAAGAAATACTTGGAAAAAAATAAGAATTTCCCAAAACCCATATTTCAAAAATCACTTACAAAAACAAAAGGGTGTTCAAAAACTAAAAAATTACCAGCTCTTAGAGTTCAAATCTCCCCCCAAAAAATCGAGAAATGCTTGAAAAAAAACCAAGAATTTCCCCAGAAATTTCAAAAATCAATAAAAAAAACCAAAAGGGTGTTGATAAATTCAAGCCATACCAGCACATCTACAGTGATCACAAAAACTTCTATCATTATTCTTCACGTTTTCTTCAATGGTATAAAGAGGAATCACAACGCCTCTGTTTTTATGCATTAAAAATGTACTCCAAATTTGCATTCCTTCAACTGTATACTCCTCAAGCTCAGCACATTGTTGAAGAAACAATCGAACATTATCTCGAAACGGGCCCGTTGGTTTAATTGGACAACCCGGATCAAGAAAACTATGAAATCCATAAAAATTTGGTGTTCTTTTACTCTTCTTGAAAGCTTCAAAAATCTTCGTAGACATTTTTTAGAACTGAAATTTTTTCTCAGTTTGAGTTTTTTTCTCTGTTTTGAATTTTGTTT